TATAGAACCCTATGGAGATTCTTAAATGAGCCAAACAAGTGAAGTGTTTAAAACTACACCAACTTGATGCTTCATTAAGCTTTCAGATATATCTCAAGGCTTTCAGATATATATCAAAACATTTAAAAAACTATATTTTGTAAAAAAAAAAAATTATAATAAAAACAAAATTATAATCAATTTTAATCCAAACGTGCATATTCATACAGTGTCATAAATATGTAATAAATAAAGATACATTTAAAAATATAAATATGATATAAACTCACTGATCTCCACCCCATCACTCAAATTTAACTGTGTTAAGTAAAAATAAAATTCAAAATGACAGTCATTTCCCAGCAGAAACATCATACACACTATAATGTGTTTCAGTGGGAGTGTGTGTGCCTGTGTGTGTGGATATGTGAGGTTTTTGTGCATTGAGGACATTCTGCAGTCTCAGCCCTTTGTTTGGTTATGCATATTTTCTGGATTGTGTCATATTTTGTATAGTCAAAAAAATCTAATAAATGAAAGAATGCAGTTTTTTTCCCCGGACATTCCATTCATTCCTATGGCCGGGTCAAAATGAATGTAATACTTGTGGGTGTAATACTTTTTTTATTACACCCACATAGAATCCTCGAATCGACTCAAATTTTTTTGTGCTTTGTGCTCCATGCTCAAATGTGACAAAATAAAAATTAAAAAAATCTGCAGTTTTTTTTGTAAATTCCATGCTTTTCCAGTGGCGGGTCAAAATGACCCACGAGGGACACTTTTGATACTTTTTTTATAACACCCACTTAAACTGCTCGAATACACTCTAATTTTTTTCATGTATTCCCGGTTCAAGTGTGACAAATGTAACAAAGTCTCATACCATAAAGATCAACGCTTGATTTTGAAAAAAATCTTTTAAAATGAGTTTTGGCTCAAAATGACCCGAGGGACGGATGAGGGTTAAGCACCTTTATTTTTAAGAGTGTACCTGGATATCTCCAAAATGGTCTGCAGAACATTTACTGAGAGCAGTAACTCATTAAGCATAAAATGCTGAACACATGACAGGGAAGACAACAGTAGACAGAAATATGTGGTTGCTAGATTTTTGGCACAAATTAAGTGCCATATCCATTGACTTCTGCTGTTGTACTGAGCTATTAGTATTTTCTATCCTCTAACCCTAAATATGAACCTCACCAAACTTTTTGTATTTTTACATGCTCATACAGGCATATTTTATGAATGGGGCAGGTCACTCTAAATAAATAAATACCTACCTACCCACCTCATGTTTATATGATCCACAGAAAAAAAATCGTACAGTTTTTGAACAACATATGTTGAATAAATCTTTTCTCTTCTTTTCTGGGGCAATTTGATTCCTACAGTATGCAAAACCTGACACACACACACAGGTTTGTTTTTATGGTTTATGAGGACTCTCCATAGGCGTAATGGTTTTTATACTGTACAAACCATATTTTCTATTGCCCTACACCAACCCTACCCCTAAACCTACCCCTTACAGGAAACTTTCTGCATTTTTAGATTTTCAAAAAAACTCATTCTGAATTATTTATAATTTTGAATTACGGGGACACTGACAATGTCCTCCTAAATCACCTTCTCGTTGTAATACCTATGTCATACGCATGTTATTATACAAATCGGTGTCCTCATAAACCACATAAACATGCACACACACACACACACACACACACACACAGGTGTAAACATTCAGCCTCTGTTAAAAGCAGATATATTAATCAAGCATTATGCCCAAGCCTGTGGCGTGTGATTTGCATAATCAGATAGTTTACAAGCAGGTGAAGCACATCATATGACACCGAATAAGGGATTACGTCATGGCTGCTTCAGTAAAGGTTTACCTGCACTTTTTTTGACAGCCCTTGATTCTTGCATTTTTCACACCAATCTCAATAATTCTTGAATAATAAAACAGGTTACATTAATAAAAAATAGTTATGTAATAATTATTGTAATATTACCATTATATTATGGGCACATTTCATTTTTTCCCCCTCAAAATGCGTTTTTTACTTCACTTGACACTGCCAGATACAAAACCAGCCTACTGCTTTGACCATATATATAGATTGTAATGTGTTCTGCAGGCCTAATTCGACTGCGACTCTTTTAGCTGCTCAACAATACCACTATTTGGCCAACAGAGGACGGCGTGAATCTGTTTTTGGTCAAAGTGACACCAGCAGCATCTGACGGACGTGCACAGGTGAACTAAAGCTCAGTGTAAAAACAGTATAGAGCAGGGTTCCTCAAATCTTGCCCTGGAGGGCCAATACGCTGCTTAACTCCAACCCTGATCAAACTCAGCTACCTGTGATTTTCTAATGATCCTGAAGACTGAGATCAGCATGCTCAGGTGTGTTTGATTAGGGTTAGAGCTAAACTCTGCAGGAAAGTGGATCTCGTGGGCCAGATTTGAGGATCCCTGGTATAAAGGCATGCATCTTCCTTTTGTTTTGCTTGAAAAATTTTTTTAAAAATACAATTGTACTACGAATCTATTTACATTTAATTGTTTAGCAGCTATTAATTGTTTCCCCCCTGTATTTCACAATCCATATTTAGCCTCTAACTAATTGACACTTTCATTTTACAGGTTTCATTTTGGCAAATGTTACATGTCTGTGCAGGAATAGTAAACGCATAAAATGTGTGTGGGCGGACTGTAATCTGACTCCTCTTCTGCTGTATTTATTAACGAGACATCGTTCGATATAAGGACAGTGAAACGTCAGCACGCCCCACCTCTGCTTCAGTCAGTCCGAGAGATTCAAATGTTCAATGACACGAGGATACACTTCAGCTCCAAATCTCTCGGCTCCATACGCCTGCCTTATTATATGACGAACAATAGTGCAAAAAAAGGGAATTCTTAGCAATATCACCTAAAACGACTTATTTCATATTGCTTAGTTTACGGTCCACAGAATGAAAAGCTTCGTGACGGTGTGCTGTCTGAGTTTTCTGCTGGGTCTTGTGGCTGTAGTTGAGAGTGATGAAGACTACACTGAGGATGAAGAGATGATCCTGTCTTTAATTCTGCAGGATGACACCCAGCCTGAAGCAGAGAGCAGGCCATCCGCCCAGTTTTACAGGTGCACTAAGGTAAGATCACCTGCTAAATGAACTAATTGTGGGACTGGTAATATTACCTGATATTAACTTTAAAAATATTAACAAAAATGCTTCGTTAAGGAAAATACTTTGGGGGGGAAATAGGTGAATACACTCTAAAAAAATGCTTGGTTGTTTCAACCCAACTTTGGGTCAAATATAGACTAACCCAGCTGTTGGGTTAAATTTTTAAATGCAATTTTTAACCCAAAAGTTGGGTTAGTCCATATTTGACCCAAAGTTGGGTTGAAACAACCCAGCATTTTTTAGAGTGTAGGGGGGGAAATAAAAATGCATAGGAAAAATCGCTGCGTTTCTGTGTCTGGGGTGTTAGTCCTGATTTTGCTGAGTTAGATGTGTTCGTTTGGAATTGATCGCATGAACACATTCTTTTTATGAAATTAAAAGAAACTATTCTGATATATGAAAGGTTTGTTTTCTGTTAATCAAGCAAAGTGCATTTACTGTCTTACAGCATGCAGATTGTTTAATTATTAGGTCAGGTGTATCAAATATGAAATATAAAAAAATATATAATTAGTTAATAATGCATGTATAATTAGTCATATGCTAAGTGATACTAATAAACAAGGCGTAAGTTTTTTCCCCCGTAGAGCATCAGAGACATATTGTTATTGTTAGTCCTGTTATAATTAGTTGTGTTAACATGTATATAAACTTATGTAAACAGTAATATAAAAAAATTAAGATGTTTAAAAGAAAATAAAAACATACATCTGGTGTCAGTATTGCCATATGCCAAGGAAGTCTAAAATAAACGCCCTGTACGTGTGGGGCGTTTGGAACGAGGAGGTTTTCAAAATCAGTGTGAATCAAATGGCCTACGTCGTGTTTTACACACAGGACGCGGGGGAATAAAAATGCATAGGAAAAATCGCTGCGTTTCTGTGTCTGGGGTGTTAGTCCTGATTTTGTTGAGTTAGATGTGTTCGTTTGGAATTGATCGCATGAACACCTTATTCTTTTTATGAAATTAAAAGAAACTATTCTGATATATGAAAGGTTTGTTTTCTGTTAATCAAGCAAAGTGCATTTACTGTCTTATAGCATGCAGATTGTTTAATTATTAGGTCAGGTGTATCAAATATGAAATATAAAAAAATATATAATTAGTTAATAATGCATGTATAATTAGTCATATGCTAAGTGATACTAATAAACAAGTCATACGTTTTTTTCCCCGTAGAGCATCAGGCACATATTGTTATTGTTAGTCCTGTTATAATTAGTTGTGTTAACATGTATATAAACTTATATAAACAGTAATATAAAAAAATTAAGATGTTTAAAAGAAAATAAAAACATACATCTGGTGTCAGTATTGCCATATGCCAAGGAAGTCTAAAATAAACGCCCTGTACGTGTGGGGCGTTTGGAACGAGGAGGTTTTCACATTATTACTGTTATTCACACTATAAATATATACTTCTGTTCAAAAGTTTTTTTTTAATTCTTTAAGAAATTAGTGCTTTTATTCCACAAGGAAGCAAATGATCAAAATTACTATAAACTAGTGCTGTCAAATGATTAATCGCATCCAAAATAAACGTTTTTGTTTACATAATATATGTGTTTGTACTGTGTATATTTATTTTGTATATATAAATACAAACACATGCATGGATATATTTTTTACGTTTATAGATTTAATATATTTATATATTATATGAATTTAAATATATACACATAAATACATGTAAATACGTGTATTTACGCCCAAGCTGGTTTAGTTATTTTTGCAGGCAGATTTTAAACAGTACTAACCATGTCCAAAACATATTGGCAACCATTAAGGTCATTTAATTCCGCTACATGTGTGTTCTCTTACAGGAGAGGATTTACTCTGTAGATCCGTTTGGTCTGAGCGGTCAGCTGCTAAAGGTTTGGCCACAGCTACAGCCCGCTGTCGTCACAGTGAAGAGATGCTGAGCTGCTCCAGTTTCTCACAAAACGGAGCAAGAGCTGGAGAAAGAGTGGAGGTGATTAGCAAAGAATGTTTGTTTAGATTGCTCAAAAATAAAAAAGTTAAGTTAAAATAATTTTTGCTCACCAAATAATCATTTCCTTTCTGACAGGAGAGAGATGGGCAGAAAGAGTGTGTTGCTGTCAATGGGAATGGAGGGCAAGGTGTGTTCGCTGTAGCGCGCTGCTGCACAGGCCATAAAGCTCAGTGCCAGATGTTAGAGAGTCCCCAGAGAGGCGCGGATGCAGAATGTCCTCCAGACCACCAGCTGACAGGTGACAGATGGTTTCACACTGCCGTATTTTTCATAAACTCAGGAAATTATCGTTAATTGATGGAATGTTCTGGGTTCAGGGGAAGTTAAAAGTCTGTTGGGTTTTGGTCAATTACCAGACAATAATATGAAAATGTCCATAAAAAAGTTTTTTTTATAAACAAAAAATACATTATTAATAATAAAAAAATATAGTTCATAATATGAATATTAATAAAATAACATTTTATTTGAACATTTTAATACCTTTTTTTTTAATTCTTATTAACTTCTTATTGAGCTTTTGTTTTGAAATGGTTCATACAAAAATGAAAATTTACTCAACCCTCAGGCCATCCAAGATGAGTTTGTTTCTTCATCAAAACAGATTTGGAGAAATTTAGCATTACATCACTTGCTCACAAAATGGATCCTCTGCAGTGAATGGGTGCCGTCAGTATGAGAGTCCAAACAGCTGATAAAAACATCACAATAATCCACACTACTCCAGTCCATCAATGAACATCTTGTGAAGAAAAAAGCTGTGTGTTTGTAAGAAACAAATCTATCAAAATGAGGCATTTTAACTTGCCTGGCCAAAATACAAGTCCATAATGTATAATAATAATGCTTCCTTCAGTGAATAAGTCAATCTGTTTTAACTACATATTTCTCTCCTGATTCAGATGAAATGACTTTCACTGGAGAAAGCATTATTACTAATAGAGTTAAAAACATCTTGATGACGGATTTGTTTCTTACAAACACGCAACTTCACAAGATGCTAATTGATAGACTTGTGGATTATTGTTTTGTTTTTATCAGCTGTTTGGACTCTCATTCTGACGGCACCCATTCACTGCAGAGGATCCACTGGTGAGCAAGTGATGTAATGCTACATTTCTCCAATTGGAAGAAACAAACTCATCTAGATCTCAGATGGCCTGAGGGTGAGTAAATGTTCATTTTTGGATTAACTGTTCCTTCAATTCACTTAATGAGTGAAGTTTCTGTTGTCGCTGGCGATGAAAATGAATTTGAATTGAGTTCTCTATGCTAAACTACAAGACAACTAGTTTCATTGTATATTTATGTTCACAACTGTCATCTTTCCCTGCAGGATGCAGTTCTTCCTCTTCATCTGGAGATGCATCGGACTCTGAACGACCTCTACATGGCATCCGCAGGGCATGTCGTGCTAAAAAGGATGTAACGTCATACGCCTCCTGCTGCCACACATCCTCTCTGGAGTGCCGGCTGAAAGAACACGACTCTATGGGTCTCAGCGAGCAGGTGACTTACTCTCAAGAAGTTTCCATTGACACAATGAACACAAAAACTAATGTATGGCTTCTAATATTTGTAACAGTTGCGGTTTAAATCCTGAATCTGTTTTACAACTGTGGATTCATCAAAACATGATTTGGTGTATCTGAGCAACTTTAACCTGCATCTTTCTTTCAGGTGGAGGTTTCATGTGAAGACTTGTGGACACTGACAGGCTGTCAGGGTCTGTCACATGGTTCTGTCGTTCGTGGGGCATTTGCTTTGGGAAACACCTGTGTAGTTCATACATCTGGAGGAGATATAGGAGCTGCCGCCATCGCCACCTGCTGCAGGCACCGCCTGTCCCACAAGTCATCTGACCACTGAGGGATGTGTGTTCTTCATTTCTCACTTCTCTAAACCATGGACATAACTGCTATAACACATATAATAGTTGGAGGTGTTACATAAGTGAGCTCAGTTCTGTCATTATGCAATATTACATGACAGAGAAGTGCATTGTAACCAGTTCTGGACATAACCATAGTCAATCTTGAAACTCTACAAGGAGCGCTAAAACACTTTAAAAGGCCTTTAATCAGCAAAACACATTTATACATGCATTGTCGCATTAATATTAGAATTCAGACTGATGCAGATAATTATTTTCATGTTATGGCTATAAAAATTCTCTACCATTTTCCTTAATAATAAAAAAAACACTAAAATTGATGATCAATTGTTTTAAAATCTACAACTGAATTCAGGCATCATTGAAAAATGGGTATTCATTTTGAGATTTGCTAAAAATTACATTTAACAGTAGTAAAGCGAGTATTAGATGACAGCTAACTATAAAAATAGAGGAAATAAGCATGTACAATGAAATACAGAATATCAGTCAATATATTTTAAATGTAGCAATACTGCTTAATAAAAAAAAAAAAACTATAATATCGGTAACCGATATTATAGATAATAACACGTTGACCTAGCAATTTTCATTTTTATATTAACAGAATATATTTAAAATATGTACCAATACTGTTAAATTAAAAAATCTCCAATATCGGTAACCGATATAATAGATAATACCACTTTGATGTTTGCACATATTCTGAATTGAAACAGAGGTCTATTTTCACTATTTCTGGCAAGAGCATCATCTCCTATTATGCATGTGCACTGTGTATAAGAGTGTAATTCTTTTTATAAATGTATATTTTTGTATTGCAAAACTTATGACTTCATGTAATGGTCTACTTCAGACTTGGCACATACAAAATCACACAGTCTGAAAAGTTGTGCATTCCAGTTTTTCCTTTTTATATCAAATGTTTTCATTGTCAAACTCTGATGTACAAATTAAAATGTGGTTTTAACATGCATTAACAGATTCCTTTACACACTCGCAGCAGAAATGAATCAAAGAATCACCAGTTATTAAAAACTCTTCAAGCATCTTTAACCCTGTCCTGACACCCAGCTTAAAAACACAAGCCTCATCACAGATCTACCGAGCAGTTGGTACAGCATCTACAGGTGTAGGAAAGGTTAAAAAAGATTGATTGGAGGGAGGAGGATCAAATTTGTGGATAGTTTTAACACACCCTGTTCACTCAAGTATACCATATTTCAAAGAAGACTACAGCACTTGTTATAAACTGTAACCCCACCATATCTTTAAGGCTCCTTTAGTGAAAACCTAAGCAGGCAGTTGAGCTGAAATTAGTGTGATATCTTTGCAAATGTGCATATTTCAGCAAAATAATAAAGATGCCTTATGTTTAGGCACTGATCTGATGAATTCTGCCCTCTATTGTAACTGAACCGTGTGCCTTTAAGTCTTGAAACGTTTCAAAATAATCCTCGGGTCATCCTAAAACCTAACAAATCACCCCAAACACTTACCACATCTGCTGCAGTGAAATATTTACTGATTCAAAGCATGAAGGCAGTTGTGGGTACTGCAGTGTTTTGCTGACTATTAAGACAAAAAGTCAAAGACCATACTGAAAAAGACTGCTTAAACCAGCCTTAACAGGTTTTACCACGCCTTTGGCCTGATCAATCTTGAGTTTAGTTGCCTCAAGGTACTCTAATATCAGCAAACCAGGCTGGCCATGTTGAAAAAAACAAACAAACATGTTGGTGAACCAGTTTAAGATGGTCTGCTAGTTTTATCAGGTCTTCCAGTCTGACTAATCTTGAATTTAAGTACCCCAAACCACTCTACGACCAACAAACCAGGCTGGCCATGAAGAAAAAAAAAAAAACATGTTAAACCAGCTCAAGATGGTGTGCTGGTTTGACCTGGTCTCCTAGTCAGGGCACTCTTAAGTGTAAGTGCCCCAAACGACTGTAAAACCAGGCTGGCCCTTTTGAAAAAAAAAAACATGTTAAACCAGTTTAAAACAGGGTGCTGGTTTTATCTGGTCTCCCACCCTGACCAACCTAGAGTTTATGTGCCCAAAACTCCCCTAAAACCAGCTAAGGAACCAGGCTGGCTCTGTCATCTTAAACCAGTCTAAGCTGGTTTGCTTCCCTTAGTTGCTCTTCCAGCCTGATCAGGCTGGTCTGTTGGCTGGCATTGAATGTTTTGGGACACTAAACCACCTAAACACAACTTAGCCGGGCTGAGACACCAGCATAAACCAGCAAATCCACTTAGACTGGTTTAAGATTTATTCTATAAACCACCTTCTCTCAGCGGTTTCGGCCAGTTTATGCAGTTCTTTTCCAGCAATAAAGTCTCTCACACGTACAAACATGCACAGAAGTGCGTGAAAGTTGCGAAGAGCAGGTGACTGCGAGGTAAAAAGCAGCACTAACGTTTGTGTGAGGTGGCATTGAGGTCCTTCCGCTGTAAACATTGAAGCAATGTCGCTAAGTGTTCTAGTCTAAATACAAAATGAGCAGCAAACGGCAGCTGAATCACTCTGCAGACTCCCTGAAAGCAGGACATCACAGGCTCGGCTCAGACAGGGGACCGTGACGCACAAGACGCCGCCCGTGTCCTCGTATGGCACTCTGAGATGAGTGTGGCCGAGCCATCCGAGTATACATGTGTGCGTTGTTATCGTAATGTTGAGTGGGTTCAGGCATTTGTGTAGCATGACGTGTCCACTGGTTTGTCTCAAGGCGAGGATGCGAGCGGCGTAGGAGAGGAGTCGAGTAAAGGCACTTTACTACTCTGTGAGAACGTTCCGGTCCCTCCAACAACCTCCGTCTTTCTCTTTCCCCTCCCCCTTCCCGCCCCATCCTCACCTTGTCATCCGATTTGCATTGCGTAAGGCAGACTAAATGGAAAAGATGCAGGTAAACAAACAAAAAAAGGACAAATTTGGCTAAATAAACCCTGAAAGTGTCTCCACGTCCCTAGATCTTCATACCAAAGCAGCACGAGACAACATCAAAACAGACAAACAGAAAGAAATGAGACAGTTTTTCAATGACAAACTCTGCTGATTGTAGCACTCATTGTCTTTCAGGAAGAAAAAAAGCTCGTTGGACAGTAGCGTCTCTGTGTGTTGCATATGTGTCTCCGGACGCATCTGCTGATGCGATGTGTCTTCCGCCCTAAGGTCCGTCCTCAATGTCCACCATCATATTTCTGTCTAGCACTTGTGTAAACAGCTTGTGTCTTTTGCTGCATGCTGTTCCTATCCAAGAAACTCGATGGACAGAGAGCAGCGAGGGACGTCCGCTATTGTCTCCACGTGATGAATTTCTCACAAACTGAATTCAAATATAAAGTGCTTTAAAAAATACCAGCAAGAAAAAGGAAAAACGGTGTGATTATTTGACTCTCAGAGACTTGGCAAGTTCTTCTTTTTTCGAATAAATTTGAGGCACCTCTCAAACAGATCCACAAAAAATAAAGAAAATCAGTAAAGGATTCTTAAAAATATTATTTTACATTTGAAATTACACTTATGGAACACATCTTTACATTTCTCATGAATAGTATCTACTTAATTACATTGGCAAATATACGTTGACTGCTTTTAAAACACCCCGTCTGGCACCATAGTAGTAGTTCGGCGTAAAAACGTCAAGGAAACAAACGCCTTCGTTTTTATTAAGTCCCACTGGTCTGACAGAACTCATCAAGCCAGACGAAACATCGAAATAACTCGCAAGATCTGAACTCTAATTTCATCCAGCCAGGTTTTAACCAACAGAAGAAAAAAAAAAAAAAAAAAAACGATATTCGCCTCTGTTCACGTTTCGGCCTGAAGTGCGAACTCTCCGATGGGCCCTTTGGCTGCTACTGGTCTCTCCATTTCCAGTCCCTAGAAGATCAAATGCAGTTTTCTGATTGTCTGTTTAGAGCCACAACATCTCTCTGTCGGAGGGAAACTTTTTGTGTTGTTTTGTTGCGCAAAAACAATGAGAAGCGTTATGGATCCACATCTTCTAGATCACTTCGAGAATCGCCCAACATCATGGGGGATTCAGATCCCTGAGAGAAAGAGAGGTGGAAATGGTAAAAGAGTAAATGTAATTCTTTATTAAACACTAGTGTAATTTATCATATAATGTAACTGATGATGGACTGCTGAATTAATGACAGACAGAGCTCTACCTGTCTGAGGCTTCTGTCTGAGTTCTCATTGGCTGGGCTGCCATCTGATCCATTACTGCTGCCGGACTGCTCCTTCTCGTTCAGTAAAGCTGTGGCATAAGCTAGAGTGTCCTAAACACAAAAACCAGCATTCACTAAACTTCACTCAGCAGTTCACATGCCCTCCTTATGGCTCATAAAATGGGTGGCTAGCTCTAGGTAAATCATTTATTTAAAGATGTACATTTTAAGACAAAGCTTAAAATCATTGTAATTTGTAGAAATGTAACTTTGTATTTAGCTTAAACTTTGAAATTCGCTTAAATTTGCATTGCAGTGTTTTTTTTTTCATCTCAAAGGAAAGCAAAACATGAAGGATATACAAAAGTGAGGGAAAGGGAAAGGAAGAAAGAGAGAGAAATAGGACTTTTTACTCCCAGGATTTTCACAAATTATTTTCTGGATTCAAAATGAAGTTTTCCCCAAAAGTGTTGTTAACTAAAACTACTGGTGTTTAGTAAGTGAAATTAAGCTGCAATATAGTAAAATATAAATATCAGATGAAAAACTTAAAGTGTAAATGTGCCCAATAGAGTTCCAGCATTTCAAACATATTCCATGACATCAAAACAGAAGAAAAATGTTTCACAAAAGTTTTCAACTTCACGTTTGACAAATACATAATCACTTTATTCTGGTTATGTACAATGTAAAGAATTGTGAGTGCAGTACCTGTGCTGAGATGGTGCGCTGGAAGGTTTTAGCCGTGGACGTCTCGTTCGATACATTACTCTGAGGTGTCCAGTAGTGCTCAGACATCTGAAAGAGGAGAGAAGGGGAATTCAACAATGGATGCTATTTCACAATAAAGAAGTACTGGTGTGTGTATGTGTATCTGTGGTCTCTTGCCTTCTTCTGGAGCCACTGCACTGCCCAACTCCAATGTCCTGAGAGCTCTTTAAAATAGTCCTTTGCTGGAGAACATCTAACAGAAACACATTGTTGACATTTAACATCACTTCTGCCAGAAACACGGATATTGGAAGCAGAAAATATTAGACATTATTTATTCCGATTCAAATAGTAATTTACTAAATCGTACTAAAGTTACCAATCTTTTCTACTGTATATTAAAATGTTTTTTATACATGCGATTTCGCTTCAAGTGGAATTATTGTTTAAAAATAGTAGACATTTAATATATCAGGCATGTAATTTACAGGCAGGTACTGGCTTATCATAACAACAATAGGGATGCACCAATATTAAAATTCTGGCCATTACTGGTAATTCTTTTTTGCATTATGCCCAATAACTGGTAAATGCCTGATATTAAAATTCAATACTATTTTCTCTAAATGAAGGAAAAGTAATCTACTTAAAACTAGTGCCGTCAAACAATTAATCGCGATTAATCGCATCCAAAATAAAAGTTTTGTTTACATAATGTGTGTGTATAATGTGTATATTTATTCAAACACATGCATGTATATATTTAAGAAAAATATGTTATGTATATATGTTCAAAATATTTATATATAAGAATATAAATATATACATGTAAATATTTTCAAAATATTTACTGCATGTGTTTGTATTTATATATACACAATAAATATACACAGTACACACACATATATTATGTAAACAAAACCTTTTATTTTGGATGCGATTAATCGTTTGACAGCACTACTTAAAACTAAAAGGATCTGCTAGAAAGGCAAGTGAATTCGACATCACAATCACAATTATGAAGCATGAAAAATCAACACTTATTTTGAGATCTGCTATAGATTACATTTAATAGTGTTATTAATTTAATGCTTTTAAAATGTTAAACATGAAAAAAGTGAGTGTTTGATGACAGCAAAGGAAAATGTAAAAATAGAGGAAATTAGCATGAACATTTTAAATATCCAAATATCAACAGATACGAGTTAATATATAAAAAAATATTGGCTGATAACCAAAATGGCTCGATTATATCATATATCCCTAAAACTCAATACTATTATATACAATTACATTCATCTATGTTAATACCCATATTGAGTGAGTATTCCTAATTTGAGCCCAGTGCTCTACACTCACTTCTGTGCCAGCGTGACCAGGAACTTCACACACTGATAGCAGCGACTGCTGTCCACATTGTTGCTCTGATGCATCAAAGCTGTGAAAGAACGAGAATCACATATTAATCACAAATGAACTGAATCTTACAAACACTCACACTGATAGAGCCAAATTATATAGTTCTTACCCAGAAGGCCCTTTTCAGATTCAAATGCATATTTGAGCCTCTGAGACTGCAGAGGGTCCTCTATCATCTGACAGGTCAAAGGAAGAGTGGTGTTACATGATTATAAACTATAACAATAAACTGTTTTCAAGATAGCACATGGCCATCACTCACCAGGATATCTAGGAGCATCTGAAAAACGTTCTTCAGTTCGTGAGGAGGAGCCGTTTCCAGAGGGCTCTACAAGAACATGTCATAAGAAAGATTGTTGTAAGTTTATTTTTACACAAACACAGGCAGGGATCAGCTCAGAGATTACTTTGGGTTGTATATTTGTATATGACATTTTTTCACTTTACACAATATACATACAGACTATATATTTTCCTATAAATAAGTGTACAATAAAATAATAAATCAATAATTATAAATATAAATAAATAACATTTAAATTATTAATGACAAAGTATTAATGCATTTGATTGATTTTTATTAGAATTTAAAATGTCAGGGTACCAACCTTGAGTATGTGTAGGACTCCCAGTGAGAAAGGTTCATTACAGAATGAGCAATATGTGATCATCTCTATGAGAAACGACAATGGGCCGGACAATTCACGCATGGCAAACATCACCTGAAAGACATGTGACTCAGTCATGTGCAATACAGACAGACAGAGACACGAGAGAGAGAATAAGAGGCAGCATTACCTCCATGAGATACACCTGGCCTTCCGCTTTGAAGAGCAGCGTGTTGATGTCTGGATGTAGAGGCAGGAGGGGTGAAGATGGAGCCACCAGTCCTGAGGAAGCGTGCTTGAACACTCCTTGAGCTGAACACAGGACAGCAGTATTCACATCTCACCGTTACTTCACTCACACAGAGACCCATTAATATCTAAACATACAGAAGACTGCACTAATAAATGGATGCTTTATTCAACTTTGTTGATTATATTTAAAAAAAAAAATTAAACTACCATTCAAATATTTGGGGTCAGTAAGATTTTTTTTTAAATCACTAAGGCTGCATTTATTTGTGAAATATTATTAGAATTTAAAATAACTTAGCATTATGTGTGTCACATGATCCTTCAGAATTCATTCTAATATGCTGATTTGCTGCTCAAGAAACATTCCTGCTTATTATCAATACTAAAAACAAATGTGCTGCTTAATATTTTTGTTGAAATCAAAAGTATTCTTTTATGAATATAAAGTTCAAAAGAGCAGCCTTTTTGCATTTTTTTTGCAAACTACAATTTCCATTTTTTTTGTTTACTTTTACGTTTTACGTCATTACGTTTTTATGCCCTCATAATAGTTTTCATTAATGATAATAACTTTGGTGTGTGTTCCGAAATCGTGTGTTCTTACCCTCCATCCTCTGAGACGTGAGGTCTGTGTGCAGCACGATCAGGGCCAGAGTGTTGTGAAGATGCAGGAACTCTCGAGCCTGTGCTGAATTCCAGCGCCGGTGCTGAAACACAAAACCAGCAGAACATCAAACAGTGTAGGTCAACATGTGCACCTAAAGGGACAGTTCACCCAAAAATGTAAGTTCTGTTATCATTTACACACCCTCATGTTATTCCAAACCTGTATGACTGACTTAGGGAGATATTTTGAAGAATGTTGGTAACAGTCTTGGTTCCCATTGACTTTCATTGTATTTTTGTCCATACAATGGAAATCCAAGGAACAGAAACTATTTGGTTACCAACATCCTTCAAAATATCTTATATTGTATTCCACAGACAAACTCATACAGGTTTGGAAGGACATGAGGCTGAGTAAATGGTGACCAAATTTTCATTCTTGGGTGGACTACCTCTTTAAGCAAGCAGTAAACCCCAATATTCAAAAGCCGCAGAACACTGCAGTACCTGGTTGTTTTGCCGGTTGGGTCCCAGAAGGAAGACAAGCATCCGACGATAAGCAGAATGTTTTAGCAGCAGCTGACACGGCCCACAGCCCTAAAACAAATCATCAGTTAATA